GAGGGGTTGAAGGCTCATTCGGTTAGGGCAGTGGCTACGTCAAAAGAGTATGCCGCAGCTCTGCCCATTGAGGAGATCTGCTCTGCGGCTATTTGGAGCCGGCCGAGTAGGTTCATCAAACATTACCAAATCGATAAACACTCTAGGGAGTGTGCTCGGTTCGGTCAGTCAGTTCTCCGCACTGGGCAGAGTTCTATATCTCTAGCCGATTGAGTCTTCAAGATTTTAGAATGTCCTCTGGGTTTCTTGGCTTTGTAATGCTCCGTCTCCTCTCTTCTCTCCGAGACTGACGATTCTTGGGTAGGCACTACTAATCGATAAAGCACTCGTTTTGCGCACAGCACTCGCTCGATCCTACAGGACCCTAAAGCCTGCCTAGCTAGCAGGCGTATTGTCCCTTGTGATTGTTGTCCCCGTTATCACTTGTACAAAAAGGGGGGGGGGTGTTTTTGAGTTTTCACTCGCTTTATGATAGCCCATTACTGAGGCTTTTTCATAGCAAATGGTCTGACCACGCCCTCTCTCAAGCCCCCACCTCTCGACGGTGGTGCCTCACAATAAGGTGGGTTCCATTTTTTTAATTCTCTATCATCATGTAAAACGATGTGTTTATTTATGCTTGTTGCAGATGGATGCCACTTCCTTTATTTATCTTTAGGAGTCTATCTTGATGCAATAAGTACCCCAAGGAGGATTTAATCTGAAAGAGAATCGTACAAACCTGTAGAGGTTATGGATTCTCTGATGAAATGCTCCTTGAGGCGCGGCCGCCCTCCTCCCCACATTCCGTCAGCTATGAGACATTGGAAAAGTGATTTGGGTGAGAGTCGCTCCCCTTGGCGTGTGTCGCCTGTAGAGGGTGAGGCCCCGCTGGGGTGGTCATATATCATACAAAAACTTTCTTTTATTAAGGAAAATGGTTACAACTATGTCATGTAGATTTTCTTGAGCAAGGAAAATGCAATAAGTGCCCCAAGGAGGATTTGTACGAGTTTTTGAGTTATATGTTGCTTCCCGCACTTTGTGGTTTTGCCACATAGTTATGTTTTGCCACATTGTTATGTTTTGCTTAAACAAATCTGGTCGGGGTCACCCCTTCTGTCGTGATTGTACGACGCCCTGTAATTTCACAACGCAGTGCCGATGTTGCAGTCATTCGTCGCTGTGCTCCTTCAACTCGATACCAGTATCCAGGACACACTTCACTCAACGTACTTGTCGACCCCCTGATATGGCTTACAACTCTGAGATTGCTGTCTCTCTACACTCTCGCCATCACCTTTATCAACAAGGGGACAGGTCTTCCGTCTCCTCAGCCATCTACGTTGGCCAGCTCAGCCGAGCTACCAACACCACATGTATGCATGGTACAACCACTCAACCAGACGCCTGTCGCAGTCCATCCATGCACAGCTGATGGAAACGCTAGACCTCCGCTGCCAACACGGCTGTCGCGAGGCACCTAGTTTCATCGGCCCCTCGCTATAAGAACGATAGTGCCTATAAGGCGTTCAGGGGATGGAAAAGATCGCCTTCCTTCGTACGGTTTGATCTTTTAGACTACGACACCTTCGTATCTTCAGCCTTGGCTACCAGACACTACGTCAATTTTATACTTCATCCCACGACCGTTCCATCAACCCCTGTTGACTACTTGCCTAGTATCGTGTTGTCGTCCTTCATAGTCACCTCGATATTAGTACAGGAGCGCTTTTATGACGCTCAGGGGATGGAAACGATCACATTACTTCGTGCAGTACGGTGCGATCTACCCGAACCACAGTTTTACAGATTTCCTCATTCTCTTCTGGACATATTGCCTCGACTTCCGACTATCTGGTTACGTCGATGCCTTAACGATCGATTGTGAAGCTGGTTTATTTCGTCTACATGGGGTTTGGTTCGTAAGCGAGCACACCACTCGACGTATCGTCCCGACAGTACACGATCGGAAACCCATGTTGCTGACTTTTCAACTTTGCAGTCTTGTAGACCTCATATACCATGACTTCCGGCTCTTCCACTGCCAGATATCAACACCATTGGCACAGCAACAGCCTCGAGATAAAAGTGCTTATCCAGGACGTCACATGCTGGCAGAGAATTCTCGGTCACGCCCTGTTGATCATGTCCACTGACAACATCACCATAGTGTGGTGTTTGAGGAACCAGGGTACTCTCCACGCTTCTTCCCTTCTAAACCAGACCCTACGCTTCCTCGACTTGATGGTCAGCCTGCATTTAGCATTTAGCCTATAAATACCTCTCTGAATTGAATCTACAGTGGGGCTTTCTACAGTCTTGGGCACACTGTCAGCCTCTTGGCTCCCGTCATCTCATGCATCGGCATCTGTAATAGAGGAATATGAGACATCCTGCGAGTCAGACACTCACCTCAGCCTGTCCCAGATGACAAACTGGATGGCTGATCGTCTTGTGTTATTTGGCCACCTCCAATTGGGATTCGGAGTTCAAGCGCCAGCTCCTTCTTCTACCGTGGTCGGCTTCATCTCCGTTCAACAAACAGATCTACAATACCCATGCGTAGGCCTCGAGTTATGCTCAAGGTGAAACATCCCTGACTGCTCTGGAGTATGTGTCCCAGACCTCTGTGCATCGCTCCTCCAAGGCACCTCCACATTGGCTGTACCCCAAAAAGCAGCTCCCACTTTTGGTGGCCAACTAAGATATTCTGCTTCAGAAAAGAGCCATAGAGATTGTGCACACCCCAACCCTATCACCAGGGTTCTACTCTTACATGTTCCTTATACCAAAGAAGGACTCCAACAACATGTGGATGATTAACAATCTCTCAACAAGTGCTACCTGGAGCATCAACCTTACTTCCGCCTAACTACCTTGAGACTGCTCAGGACCAGAATCAATGCTTATGATTTCCTGATCAGAGGTTGTATACACCTGCATCCACAGACCTCCAGGAATGAAGTCAACACTATATCATTATGGTTGCGCACTATTGTTCTCAGGCTTAGGAAATTGCCAACTTGATCCACCAAATGGTAACAATCTTTACGAGATCCGGGTGGTTGCCTCTACGATGGCTCTACTCAGTAATTGTTCTGTAAGAGCCATCATGGAATAATGTTTTTTGGAGGTCTGACACTGTCTTTGCAAGCCACTTACCTGAGGAATGTGGCCTGGGAAGATGTCGAAGGAGTTCTTAGTTTTGGTCCTCTGGTCGTAGCCCAGCAGTTCACCAATCCTTGTTGCCATTTTCCTCCTGTTCAGAGCCAGCCTTACCTACCCATCTTGCACAGTGTTTGCATGGCCGACAGGGGTTATTCTGCTTACCAACACTTGGCTTGGTAAATGAGTTTCTAGACTTAAGCACATGCTAATATCTACTGGGTCCTGCATCACATTTCAATGAAACAACTTCTTTCTCAGCTGGACCCCTGTAGCTTCGTTTTCTGTCAAAAGTAAGCAGTAAGTGCATCAAGAAGTAATGAAGGATAAGTGTAAAAAATATCTAGATATTACAAATAACCATAAGCTTAGCACTTTGGAGTCAAGCATGATATATGAATCCATTCTGTCAACTAAAGTTTGTTTTAAAGTGCCAGTAGCCATTATCTTATCATGGTTGCTTTGAATGACAGTTGGTGCAATCTGTCCTGAAAAGTACACACACGATTTCACCAAAATAAATGTAAACAACATTGAAATAAAATTTGATTAAAACTAATGAAACAGATTACAAACATAAGTTTAAGTATATATTGAACACTTTTTATTAGATAGTGTAACAAAAGGATTATCTGTCGTATTTCAGTACAGACGTGAAGATGTGCTATTTCCAATGAAGTGGGGAAAATACTGAAATTTATGGGAACCATTTGTTACCCTGTTGTGTGAGATAAAAATGTTTTTACTCAGCAGCAATGCTTTTCATGTTCGAAGGACCAAGGCAAGCTTATGCCATACCATGGTGTGGGTTGTGCGGCCATCATCCGTACGTCAACAATTATTTCAAACGATTTCTTCTTCTGAACCACTAATTGGAAATTAACAAAATTTGACTGGAAGCATCCCCAGGTGGTGGGAAAATCAAATTGTACAAATGGTAATGCTGGATCCCACACACACACCCCACACACACACCCCTACCCCCACACCCCCACACACCCACACACCCACACACCCACACACCCACCCACCCCCAGGCACTGAGGGGTGGGGCCAAATAGGAGTTATCAACCATAATAGTTTGGAAGCATTGTCCGGTGGTGAGGATTCAAAATTGTACAAATGGAAGGGCTGACCCCCCAAGGTGCTGAGGGGCGAGGTCAAATAGGCGTAATGTGGCATTATTGCTTTAAACGCCTTCTTCCCTGGAACTAAGAGATAAATATCAACTACATTTGGTTGGCAGCATTTTCCAACCGTGGGATTTCAAATTGGAGAAAATGGAGGGGATGAAACCCCCCACCCCACCACCAGGGACTGAAGGGCGGGCCTAAAAAGGGTAATTTGCCTGGATCATAACCTGGAAACGATTCAGATCCTTATGCTACATTTGAATCAAGAGAAGTACACGTTCATGCTGTCAGATTTACCATCCACCCCTTTTAAATGCTAACATAATCAAACTTACTAAATATTTGCAGTATTATATACATGTACAATGCAAATGTATATTTTGTCATGATCGCATAAATATCCAGGTGAGCGATACAGGCCCTTTGGGCCTCTTGTATTGCATTTATGGCCAATTGCAAATATCAATGAAATTAGGACAGGGTTATCTGTACTAAATAGTACAACGAATGGCCCACACTTACAAAAAAATGGCCCATAAAATTTGTTATCATGATGCAAAATGAAAATGAAGAAAATTTTCTTCGCTATCACTATGCAACCCACCAATACCTAATCATAATCTCCTGCTGCCTCACAATGAATGTCTTCTGACTTTGGTCTCTCGCTCTTCCATTTGTCCAGCAGTGAAATAACATCTTAAATGACATTTTCTTCTGCAGGCAGTTTTAGCCTTGGCTGCATCATGGACATCAAGACAAGTTGGTGACCGGACATTGACGGGAACAGTTATAGATTCTGGGGATGGCGTTACTCATGTAATACCAGTTGTAAGTATTGACTTGTTCACTGTAATCATGATCACAGTACACTGTAAATCATGAAGTTAATGCAAATGTCCCTTGTCCGCATTAATATCGTGAAGCATTGTTATCTGGACATTTTGGAGTATATTGTTGTCAGGTCCACTGCACAGTGACATTGATAACAAAGCTCACAATGAATAATGTAATTGAGTGCTTGATTTAGACAGTGCTTCTAACCAAGTTACGCATCAAGCGTGGTCAGTTTGATTACACAGCTATGACAGTTGCCAACCATGTATGACAGCATCTTTGTTGTCATGAGTTTGTTTGGTCTGTTGATTGGCTATTTATTTCAGGCAGAAGGCTATGTGATAGGCAGCTGCATCAAGCACATTCCCATTGCTGGGCGGGACATTACCTATTTCATTCAGCAGTTGCTCCGAGAACGTGAAGTTGGAATTCCACCAGAGCAGTCTCTGGAAACAGCTAAAGCCATCAAGGTATTACATGGGGAAAATTCCATAAATGTAAAGATGCAACTACTCGGTATGATCAGTATTCACCTTGATGTTAATGACACGTAGCTACGTAACTGAAGCATGGCATATAATAATCATGATGTATACCTGGCATGCATGCCATTTTGAAAAGAAAGTTTGTGGCTTTTTCAAAATATAATGGCAATTTTACAATATTATTAGTTCAGGTTTCTTCATTTGTAGACATGTGATGAGTACAGACAGATCGAGTTTGTTAAGCAGTCAGATATGTCAATATTGCATAGGTCTGATGTCACATGATACAAAATAAAGCATGATAAGGATTTCTGTCTGATAATTAATGTGGATGGATTTCAACCACATGTATTTTGTAGACATAGCATTGTACATCATTTTTCATCATCACCCCAGAGTCGCATCCCTTGGGCACGCCAGAAACCCATGATTGTGGGTTTGAATCCAGGTTCGCCCTGATTGTTTCTAGGATTGTCAGCACCATACCCGTGCTCGTGGGTCTGAGACCTGCATCACTTCGGGCTTTCCTCCCACATTAAGCTGACACACCATGATATAACTGGAATACTGTTAAAAGTGGCGTTAAACCCAACTCTTTCACTCACTCATCATCACCCAAATCAGTCAATATCAACAATGTCTTGTTCGGAATCACATGCCACATAACTTATTTTGAGGAAATATAGGATAGGATATTGACCATAATTCATTGACAGATCAATGGAGTTTTGACATTATGATAGCACTAGAACACATTTGGGCACACATGATGACAGGTTGTGGTGCACCTCATGGAATATGGGAGCAGGGCCTGATTCTACTTGCATACACTTTCCTAGTTAGATATTTTGAGTCCATGTTGATGACAAGGGGGCTGGCTACCAGTACATAACTGTACACAGGCCTCTGACAGTGGGGAGTGTTTATGCAGGCACACTTGGTGAGAGCATTCCTCCATGATCAAGTATTTCTCCTCCTTACTTTGCCTCCGTCTGTTGCAGGAGAAGTACAGCTATGTGTGCCCTGACATTGCCAAGGAGTTTGCCAAGTATGACCAGGACCCCAGCAAGTGGTTGAAGAAGCATGAGAGCACTAATGCTGTCACCAAGCAGTCATTTGCAGTTGATGTTGGATATGAAAGATTTCTAGGACCAGAAATATTTTTTCACCCAGAGGTACATGCATGTCCTGATGTCATTTTCAGCTCTGAGTGTTTGAAATTTAACCTGCTGAAGGCCTTTAAACTTACGCTGAGTTATCGTTACCTTCATCTTACATCTGACTGATGATAAGGAGTCATAGCATTACCAATGTAAACATATTAGAAAATGTTACTCTGCTTATGTGATGCTTAGGCCTAATAATACCATGTCAAGTGGTCTCACCATTAAGTTGGTGATATTCAACTGAAAGTGTTACATTTACTCCTTTCTTACAGTTTTCTAATCCTGATTTTACAACACCAATATCTGAAGTGGTGGATGATGTTATACAGAACTGCCCAATTGATGTCCGCCGTGGCCTTTATAAGGTAGGTGTGAGATACAGCCAGCACGAGTCTCCTTACACCTCTGTAGGACAATGCACTTGTGCATTGAGAGGTTACAGTTATCCAAGCCTAGTTACTGTGAATGTTTATTTTTATTCCTTTTTTCCATCACATTCAAAGCACACTTGAATTCTTTACTGTACATTTGGTTTTGTGGTCATCATTGATGTCATTTAGTTGCAACAGGTCCCATTCTATACTGAAACACTATGGTAAGATGTAGAACACACTGGGGAAGCATGGCCTGCTCAGTCTGTAGTGCATGTGCAAGCTGTTGTCGTATCTGGATCTGGATCTGGATCAGCATGATGCTGTCGTATGCAGTGATGCATTTTTTGCTATATGTGTCCTTTAGTAATTTGGAGGGTCCCGGGTGGACCTGTACATTGTGATTGTCATATGCTACTGTTAAACATGCTGTATGGGGCCTAGCATTGTCATGTTGAAAGATGATGTCGGTAAGGTTGATAATGGGAACAATGTGTAGCTGTAGAGTTTCTTCACAATTGCATTGGGCTATGAAGTTGCCTTGCACTTGGTTTGTTCTACCGGTGTAGGGGGATAACACCCACATCATGAAATCTGTCAACTTCCTGTGTGCCATTGGCATCACAATGTTGATGGCGATGTCAGTACTCCCTGGCTCTCCTTTCTGTGTTTGTATCGTTATCTATCGTGTAGATGTCCGATTTTCGATCATGAACGTTGATACTACTTAATTTTGTTTATCAGACATACTCGTTAATCCGACATAATTATATGCAACCAACCATGTCGGATTAACAGGACTTGACATTAGGTTGCTGGGGACCTGTATTCTTATCTGGAATCATCCTAGGTACAATTGTCCTGGCACGACTTTGACACCATATGACATCATATTCCTCTTTATATGCATATCATTTATGTACGGATGTCTTTCATATATATGCATATTAACATCATCTGTGCTTGTCTTTTCTTGAGGACCATGACAGTGATCATGACCATGCTACACTGAAACACCAATGTTTTTTGGCAGATTTGGATTTTAACTCTGCTATGGCTTTTGAACTTCACATGCCATCATTTATCTTGATACCACAAGGCTGAAACTCGGCAAGGATGATACTATTTTCGATGCTTTATTGAAAATAACATGTTGCTTGGTTTTCGGGAGGTTGCAAATCTGCTGTAAATAATGTTTACATATTCTTGTTGACCTTTTAGTTACGTTTTAATAATATATTGTTGGTAATAAATCAGATAATACACCAAGATTAGCTACAAAGCCTCTCTCTATATTTCATTAACACTGGTAAAGCCTTTGAATGATAAAAAGTACATGTACAAATTTTCATTATTACTTTTCAGAATATTGTACTGTCGGGTGGGTCAACAATGTTCAGAGATTTTGGACGAAAGTTGCAGCGAGATATCAAGCGATTAGTTGATGCTCGCTTGAAAGTCAGTGAGGAACTGAGTGCAGGAAGAATAAAGGTATGCATTAGAGGCAGGTTTGTGTAAAGAGGGTATTTGTGTATGGGTAATTTGCACATTTGCTTTTGAGTATTTACTCATGTAATTAGGATTTTTGCTTATAGGTAATGCCGGTATTTACTGAGAAGTAATGAGGGTGCTTTGATGTAATATAGGGTATTAGGGTATTTGCTCATATATATGATTGCCACAAGAGCTGTGGCTTGAGTCTAGCCACATTACATTAAGTAATACGTTACCACTGTTATATCGAGGCTGTTGTCTCCCACAACTGCTGCTATAGCGCAATCTACCACAGAGATCTCAATTACCTCATGCAGCACGTGCCTAGCCACCTAGCTGCCATGTGACACCCTTCACTCTTGTCTCTTCGCTGGCGCTCGCTAGACGTGTTATAGACTGCTGAAGCGTTCCTGTTTCTTCGACCAATTCGGTGATATTATGGTTTATTAAACTAATAAACTGTGCATGTAGGGGCATTTGCGGTAGCTACGCTTGGATATAATTTTCCCGCCAAACAGAAAAAAAATTCCCCCCCTTTTTTCTATATACTCGCGGGGTTCTCGTATGCACGTTGTGTCTTACGTTCCCCTGCTATAGTATACTTTGGAGGTTAACATCACTTATTTCTCTATATGTTCTATGTGTATGTTCTATATTCACTTTGCTCGTTTTTTTTCCTTTGTGAAAATGCTCGTTTGTGAATATTTGTGGTTCGTGTGTTGTAACCATGTTTTGCTCTTTTGTTCATAGTACCAAAATGTCTGACATGGATGTGTCGCCGTTGTCCATCCCCTCTACCCCTGCAACCCGGCGTTGCAGTTTGTGTCACAAGTTCTTGTCGTCACGGGATCCCCACGATCGTTGCCCGCGGTGCAGGGCTCCTTGCGGGGACACCCGGTGCGTCCTGTGCAACGGTCTGGGGTCTGCGGCGTTTGAGCGCTACCGGCTGTATGTACAGTCCATTTCCACCCCTGTGGTGACCGGCAGCCCAGTCGGGGTCCCCTTGCGGGTACCACCTCCACGGCTGCGGCGGATCCCTTGGCGGCCCTTCGGCTGTCCGGGGATTCCGTCGCTGCATTGCTTTCCAAGCTTGTGGACTCCAAGCTGGCGGCCTTATCTCAGGATAGGCGGCTGGCTGTTCCGTCCCTGGCCTCTTCGGTGGCCGCGGGTTCGGCCGCGGGGTCCACCGGTACGGCGGCGGCTCCCGTGGTCACCGGTCCTTCCCCCGAACCGTTGATCCCGCTATCGGTTAAGGACCACGTGGCCATGGTTTATGACCTCTTTGAGGACATGCCCAAGCCCCTGCCGGTACCGCGGGGAATCCACGACTCTGTGGGTTCCTCCGAGGTATACGATGAGACTTCCGACAAGGCTTTCCTCGCATCAACCTTGCTGCGCGGGATCAAGCCGTCTTTGGAGAAAGCCTTCGCGGCGGCCTCCGGTCGGGGTCTCCTGTTGCCTCCACCGTCATGGAGAAAGGGTTCTTTCCCGTAGCATGACCTTGCCTTTCCCGAGGCTGGTCCTTCCCCGGAGGCCCATGTTGAGCGGTTGGGTGTCCGTGCCCCACCGGCTGCTACGGTAACACAAGCTACCTTGCAGCAGCTGGACACCCTCGCTCAGCACTCCATGCTTGCAATGTCTCACGGAGACACTTACCTGGCTGCAGGGGCCAGTCTGGTCGAAGGTTCTCCCACGGACCGTGACCAGCGCATTTATAACTGCCTGCTCAGTTTAAATGCTTCCCTGTAGTACGTTGCCCCTCTCCTTCCCCAGTGGGAGCCAGACTCCAGACTTACTGGGAGAATTGGGAACAAGTGTTCGACAACCCGTGGGTGGTCAACACGATCCGGTACGGCTATCGGCTAGATCTGAAAGCGAATCCGCCACTCACCGTTGCCCCGTTGGCCGGTTTCTATTCGGAAACCGATCTTCCCATCCTCGCCGATGCCATCGGCAGGTTGGTGGAGAAGAGGGCAGTACGGGAGTTAGCTCTACCAGAAATAACACCGGGGTTTTACTCCAGGATATTTCACGTTCCATAGAAGGACAGTGCCGAACTCAGAATGATTCAAAATCTGAAATCGTTCAACGAGTTGTACCTGCACAAGTCGCCCAAGTTCAGAATGTTGACCTTGGCGGACCTGAAAGCTCTGATCATGCCGGCCGACTGGCTCGCTTCGATCGACCTGAAGGATGCTTATCTGCATGTTCCGATTCACTCGGACCATCACAAGTATATCAGGTTTGTCTTTCACGGCAGGCACTACGAGTGGGTTGTACTCCCCTTCGGCCTTTCGTCCGCTCCCTGGCTGTTCACCCGGTTAACCACCCCCATAGTGGGGTTCCTCCACAGGAGCGGTGTCAGGTACTTCGCGTACCTGGACGACTCGCTAGTGGCCAATCGGAAGACGGACACCCTATCCCGCCATCTCGATTTCGCACGTCGGCTCTTTGAGTAATTGGGATGGATTGTCAATCTCCCCAAGAGCGAGTTAACCCCCTCACAGAACTTAAAGTTCATCGGAGGTCGGTTCGACACGGTGACCCATCGCCTCTTTGTCCCCCCAGACCGGTGGCACAAGATTCAGGCGATGACTGCCAAAGTGTTAGCGGTGCCACAGACTGTTCACTTTTGGGAACAGCTGTTAGGGCTACTTGTGTCAGCCCAGGACTGCACCGAACGGGGTCGTCTCCAACTTCGCCCGCTGCAACGGTTTTTAATCCAGTTGTTAGCACAGGAGGAGAACAGTGCAACCGTCGCCCTTCAAGATCGGCTCCGACCGCATCTGGAGTGGTGGACGGTCCCTTACAACGTCTAATCAGGAGTCTCTATGCGGCCCTACCAGGCCACGTTGAACCTGTATGCAGACGCCTCTCTAGTGGCCTGGGGCGCCCATCTAGTGGCCTGGGGCGCCCATCTAGAGGGGGAGGTGAGCTCGGGGCTGTGGTGCGTAGACGAACTAGGTCTTCACATCAATTGTCTCGAGTTCAAGGCAGTGATCAACGCAGTCAATCACTGGAAGCATCGTCTCGTCGACGCCCGGCTCATGCTGGCAACCGACAACACAACAGTAGTGTCCTATGTGAACAAACTGGGGGGAACCCACAGTCACTCGCTACTCAATCTCACGTTCGAGTTTTACGCTCTGGTGGACAGTGTTCCGTGCCCGTCACATCCCAGGTTTGGGTCGTCCGATGGTCGACCTGTTCGCAACACGGTTCAACAATCAACTCCCGTTGTTTGTATCACCAGTCCCGGACCCGAGGGCCATCGATCACGATGCTGTCGCGTTAGACTGGACGGGCATGGACGCTTATGCTTACCCACCGACGGCGTTGATACCACTCATTCTAAGCCGGGTTCGAGGAGTTCGCTGTCGAATGTTACTGATCGCGCCCATGTGGCCGAACACATCGTGGTACCCCGACTTGCTGACCCAGGTCACGCAGTCGCCACTTCCACTGCCTGTGAGACCAGATCTCCTGATCCACCCTCACACCTGTCAGCTTCATCCAAACGCAGGGCAGTTCAATCTGCACGCGTGGATGTTGTCACCGAGCGTCTGAGGAGTAAAGGTTTTTCTTGTCGGGCGTCTCGGGCATATGTTAGTATGCATCGTGATTCTACCCAGAAGGTGTATAATGCACGTTGGGTTATTTTCACGAAGTGGTGTTGTAAACATCACATTCATTCGCCAGATAAGGTATCTGTGCAGGATATTGCTCATTTCATGTCTCACTTACGAGAGACCCGGAAACTCTCCGGGGGTTCCATTGCCAACTATGTCTCTTCTGTTGCTACGGTACGGGACGTTGCTATGGGTACCAGTCTCTCAAAAGAGCCGGTGATTCCAGGTATTATCAAGGGTTTCAAACAGCACGATCTTAAAAAGGGCCGCCTTCGGGCACCGGCCTGGGATCTCTCCTTAGTGTTAAAATCACTTACAGAGGCTCCGTATGACCCCTTGGGTAGTGCTTCGTTCCGGCATGTGACTTGGAAAACAGCATTTCTCCTCTCCTTTGCCACAGCGACACGTGTGTCCGAGATTCATGCACTCGATGTTGCTAAAGTACGATTCAATAGGGGTGACGAAGGAGCGGTCCGCCTGGGCCTGCTCATGGGTTTTGTCGCCAAGAATCAGAAATTTGGTCAAACGGAGAGAGAATTCACTGTAAGATCACTCAAGGAAATCTTACATCCTGCTGATACTGAGGACAGATCGCTGTGTCCGGTTAGGGCCCATAAGTGTTATCTTAAGGCTTCGAATGAACGCAGACAAGGGCGTGGCCGTCTGTTCATATCGTGTAACCCTAATCGCACTGCTGACATAACTCGATTGCGTTATGGCTTCCTTCTGTCATCAATCTGGCGTACCGGTCTCCGGGGTTACCGGTAGCGGGGTCAAACCTGCACGAGATCAGGGCGCTAGCGGCAACATTTGCCCTACACTCGAATATCTCTGTTCACAGAATATTACGAGGTTGTTACTGGCGTTCTGACTCGGTTTTTGCCAATCATTACCTCAGAAGGGTTTCTGATGAAGACGTGGAGACGCTGATCGCGGCACAAGCCCTCATCTAAGGGGTGTGTACAGCGCAGTTCCGAACTCCACAGGCGTCAGACCTTGCACGGTGGTCAATCGGGGTCTTCTCCAATGTTCCCACCGCCGTGGGTACAGGAGTGGGGGTCCCGCAAGCCAGCACCCTCACACCACAGGTGAGGCGGCTTTTTGTGTGTTTTGTCCTTATTTGTATTTTGACAATTATGTATTTAATTGTCTGTCGTGTATTCCAACCTTGTGATACATGCTTACGAATGCTGAAATTAGGTCACGCGCCTAATGCATACTTTAAGTAGGCCTGCTTTGGGATATACGGTCCGGATGAAATTAATTTCCCCCTTCCCGACTGTTTAACCTGATCTAAGATTTAGCTCACACGGATACTGTGTTCTCATCCGCTGCGGCGATGAAATACCTATCCAGTGGGGCCGTTTGGAGTCACCAATCGTTTGGCAATGACGATTGAGCCTTACGGTATGCGCTTGACAGTGCTTTGGTATTCCAATAGGGTAACGCCTAGCTAGGAGCATGCGCATCAAGTGCTTCCGCCTTGTTTTTACTTCCGCTAGTCGGAAGGAACACAAGCAGTCAGGTTCGGGTTGTAGGTGCTCCCCACCGCCTACTGTGGTAGTCAGCCTCAGTATAACAGTGGTAACGTATTACTTAATGTAATTTGTAGAATTTTCCTATTCGGAATATTCTATAAGTAATACGTTACCACTGGGCTGCTGCCCGCCCGTCCGTCCCCCGAGCACTTGCTCTCGCCAGAGACAAGAGTGAAGGGTGTCACATGGCAGCTAGGTGGCTACGCACGTGCTGCATGAGGTGATTGAGATCTCTGTGGTAGATTTCGCTATAGCAGCAGTTGTGGGAGACAACAGCCTCGGTATAACAGTGGTAACATATTACTTATAGAATATTCCGAATAGGAAAATTCTACAAAACAATCACAGCAGAAGCTAATGGGGAGTTATTGTATATACTAATTCCTGAACAAATAATATATTGGCTGAAAATCAAAATGGTGGTTTTCACCGGCAAAAGTGAATTTAAAGGGATATTTTCACTGCACCATCAGCCGGAAATTCTTTTTACTTTAGCCTTATAGTAGAAGTTTCTAAGTAAAATGGCCATTGTGCATATGAATTATCCTTTCATTACATATATCAATCTTATTAAAAAAGGATAATGCATGTAAGTGCAGACTGACTGCACTCCAGTGTGAACTTAACTATACTGTGTCCTAGGTTTGTATCAGCTGAAGAGTATTCTGTTCATTGTACAGATTGAGTGGTGTCCCATCAAGATATAGAAGTCCAAGCTTCTTGTTGAGGGCACTGTTCCACAAAGCGATCTTAGCATCATGTCGATCGCAACTCCCATACTCTTAGGCTGAAAAAAATATAAAATATACACAACACAACAAATTGTCTTTACCGATTTTGGATATCTTTTTTAGTTGCGGCCATACTGGATTTTGATTTTGATTATTTCTTTCAACAAAATTTTACTTTAAAGATTATATCTTGTAAGGTTGTTGACAGAAACTATTGCAAGTTTACATGAAATCAGTGTGTTATAAGAATCTCACTTTTTGTTCTTGGTTTATGCTAAAAGTAACACCGCTTGGTGATAAAGTTTCATTAATATTTGGCACACCCCTGGAAAACGCTAATTTTGTAGCGGCTTTTTGACGGAGTTTGAACAAGCAAACCCTTTGAGAATTCGAACATGTTCGAGGTCGGAAATGGGTTTAGAACAGACTTGGACACCCCGGCACACGACAATTTCGTAACGGTGATACCCTGCAAGTGATGCCTACATTTGACTGTTTGGTATAAGGAAACACTTTGAGGATTCGAAGATGGACGTTTGTGAGCAGTGTTACTTGGAGCTGGCCATTGCTGCGTTGTTTTGTTGTAATTGTGTACAAACAAGTAAGAATCCAAATCCATATACTGCTGTGTATAAGGCGAGTTTTTAGTCACTAGAATTAGGGGTCTGGGGGCCGTCTAAAACACAGGGTTGAAGAGTTTTTTATGTTTTTTCCGCATCACAAAGACATTACCGTGAGCACATAACACCGGAAATACCATGTCAACAAAACAGTACTGAAGTACGCAAATTAATCATGTAATTACACTGTATTTGTTGTTAAAAGAGTTCATTATATATCTGAAGTTTGTATTTCTATTTTATTTTTAAAAAATCAAAATTTCATTCAATATCCTTTTAATTCATTTCGTTGAAATCCTATGTGAAGTGATCGGAAGATCGCAGAATTCACTGTTGTTTACAGCAACCACAGTCATATTACCCCTATTGACACCTTGAAACGAACTTTAGTGGATAGATATATATATCATAAACGCCATACATTGACCTGCCTAAAGTCATATTTGTTGTAGTTTGACGATTATGTGAACAAAAGGTTTTCACATCTGCGGGCTCGTGAGCATCGACAGTGATTGGTCAAAGTTTTGGTGATTGGTCAAAGTTTTCCATACAAAAATATATCTGGGAATAGCGAACAGCTGTACCAAAGGGCTACGCTTATGGTTACTAATTTAGTTCACATATATAGTAAGGCTGCAACTAAAATAACATGATATTGGAATAGATTATTCCTGATAAAATAATAGTTTCAGATATAATTCTTCCAACCATGTATCATTCAAAATTCTTTAGATGTTATATTATTGGATATTTTTTTAATCATTGGTAGATTCCAAGAAACGTGTACAGCTTAGTTTCCGAGAAAATACACATGGTAATCATTATCTATGCATATAAAACAATGCCAATCAGAGCAGGATATACAGTTTAATCCGTAAATCATCATGTCTAGTGATGTTTTATCTCAAACTTCAAATTTGTATTGACCCAGTTCATTATCATCTGTTCATTTCCCTGAATTTGCTGAAGGGATACAATGTCATTTTTTTCTGCGAAAAACAAATATGTTTTTTTAGGCAAATTTAGGGATTTTGTATGCGCTGATGACATGCTTCATTCCGATTCGCCTTATAGTGGGGTATATAAATTAGCATCAATTTCCTGCAAATACACATGTAAATCTTATCCACTGCGTATGAAACATTGTCCCGCATACAGTACACAAATACCATTGAATTTGTAAATAATCATGTCTAGTGATGTTTTATCACAAATTTCATGTTTTCATTGACCAAATTTGCAAACAGCTAAACAAGCACACAAACTCCATGACCATAACACACAAGATGCGCAGTTAAGCAGTGCGCATGAATAGGGAAGTAACTGCACGCTATATTGGATCGCATTGCTTTTAGTATTGTAGCATTTCACTGTTGCGGTCGTGTGTTCGAGACGGGGAATATTTAAGGGTTTTTATTTTTTGAAAATGGAAATAAAAACGAATTGTGCAGCGGACTTTGTGATGATGCGGCAGTGCCCGAGAACCAAGGATATTGTTTTTAGCCTTACACGCACTTACAACGGTCGCTTTGTGGAACAGAGCCCAGATGGACACCAATCTGCATAGAGTTACCTCCCTTGAACTGTTAGAACACAGTAGCACTGCATGTATCAAAAGCAGACATGGTAATTTGGAGCAGTCACCAAACAAAATCCTACATGATGAATGACAGTGAATACTTGACTCATTTTACCTGCATGGGTGATCTGTCAGATGGACTTGCACAACAATTATTCAGACAACCGGACTGGCAATATTGCAAAGTTATTTTCTAGACTAACAAAATTAACAAAAGAGTAAACATACGAATAGTAGTGTTTAATATTTCTCAGAAAATAACAATAAACTGGTGGATTGTCAACTTAGTAATTTAAACTCCTGACCATCAGCATGCAACCTTTAAAAACTGACCGTCTGTCAGCAAAATAGACCGTCTCGGACTGTCGGGCAGGTGGATATTTTAAACACTGAATTACTGGAAGGCTGTTTGCTTAAAATTGACAGGTTGACAATTAGTTGTACATATCATGTATATGCCAGTGTTGGGTTTTCTGTGTAAGAAATAATAGGAAAAACAGCAATAGAAAAAACTGTTTTAGTCCACTAATCCTTATAATGATGACATACAGCAAAACCGTTTATAATGGCAAATTTCTACTAGTCCTTAGGATACCTAACTATTGGGTCATTTGGCAAGAATTATAGAACAAGTGCTAATTTCTCACACTGTAAAATATGTTGTCAGTAATTCATCTTTGAGTAAACATCTTCAATTGCAGCCTAAACCAATTGACTGCTCTGTCATTACACACCACATGCAGAGATACGCTGTCTGGTTTGGAGGCAGTATGCTGGCTTCTACAGTAAGTGTGAACACCTTATTGTTATACAGCCCATTGAATATACCACTGTTTAGTGACAGTAAGCTGATATTAGTGTTTATGACCAAATCGTGTGCTTATACACTGACGGAATTAGTTTCACTCACAAATATTGAAAGCACTCAACATCGCTGTGCTTGTTCAGTGACATTGAATGTAGAAATGACAGATCATTGAGAGGAGCTTATGCGCACTTGAATACCCCAGCAAACCTGTTGCTAGGTTGACATCACAGGCCATTGCTTTGAACCAAATTATGTCATGAGATATTGTGACATGTTTGTAAAATATTTGGTTCTAAAGGTAGACTTTTTTATGGTATCATCTTAATTGTTTCAACTTTTAACTCAAGTGTGGATTGCGCCATTGACTGCCTATTTACAGACGACAGTGAAATATTGAATTCATACTCATGACTAAGTTTATGACCTGAATTCCCATAGTTGGAGCAAATGAGGTTTTGAACAGGCAAATGTTAAATAGAATACTGAACTCACTGCCATGTTACATCGCTCGTCAGATGCCAAAACTATTCACTCGTTTTATAAAATAGGTATTACACTTGAGCTTGTTTAGTATTCTATATTTCTGAAGTAGATAACTGTCTGAGCTATTGTAGAAATTCTCACTTGGTAATTGATACATTGTGATGGTACCTGAACCATGGACAGTAGGAGGCTGATGTGATGGTTGGAAGAAAGGACCTGCACCAGCACACACCCACACGCACACGCACACGCACACGCACACGCACAAGCACACACACACACACACACAAGTCCTTTCAAGTTCCAACATTACAGAACTTCTAACTGTTTTAGACAGCGATTGTTTGAGTTTAACTGTTTTCAACAGGTGCATTTTGCAAATGGTTTAAATATCTTGTCTTCTATCCTCAGCCTGAGTTTTACCAAGTGTGTCACACCAAGGCTGATTATGATGAACATGGACCAAGCATCTGCCGCCACAACCCTGTGTTCGGAACAATGACATAAACCACACACAACTCAGGTGCCAATGATAAAACAATGGATCTTTTCACGGCGTCATCTTGTTTTATTCTGTAGCTAAATCTTTCGTATCACTTTAGTTTACTAAAAGTATGAACCTGATAAGTATGTACCAGTAATTATAGTCTGGGAAGCAGGCCAGAGCAGCAGCTTCATCACTATGCCTTCCTGCTCTGTCTGGTCTTTGTTGTCTGATATGGTGGACAAGGACTGGCAAAATGTATATTTGTGTGTCAGATATATGTGCACATAATGCTGTTTACTGTGAGACATATCTGTAGTTCTATGTTTTGATAAACAGCTTTCATTAATTGCTTAATATGTATTAGCGACACATCAGCACATAGTGCACGAAAATATTCCTCATACCTTGTGACTGTCACCTACAAGCTAGTACGTTTTGTCAAACGCTGGATTTCTGATTTAGACATACACTGAGTAATGAGTTACGCAGCATGTAGTTTGTCATGGGTTCAAAGCCATGCCTAATTACAACACATTTTCACAGTTAAAAATTATGAAATGTAAATTGCAGATATAATCCTTTTGTTTGGCCATGATGTAACTCTCAAAAGTATCTGTAAACTGATGAGTAGGTGTGTATAAGTCAGGACATAGATGTACTAATCTAACAAGATCAATACATGACTGGAAGGTGCAAAACTTTCAGCGGGGCATAGGTTTTAGGTGTAAATATTAATGATTCTGTTTAGTTTGGCAAGTTGTCCAAGCCAGGATGTTTGTACTAGTGTTGCTCATTCCTGGCTGAACAAATGCTGTTGCTGCTACTGCTGTATCAGTTGCTGTAATGCCATTCCATCTGGAAATAAATACATCGCTGATGATTTCTTGTCATATATCACTGTATAATGTCAACATTTCTTTCCATTTATTTATTATAATGTTTTGATCACCAACAAATTCAAAATCCTAATTTGTGAAATAAATCATTTGTTTTGTAGTGACAAACATAATGTAAAAAATAAGAAATTAAATACAACTTAGATTTGAATACAAACTGAATGATGTAGATGTTTTTAATCAGTCTACTTCTTAATATTTCTTATGAATAAACATGGATACATGTATCCTAAAACATACAAATTGTTAGCTTTTATTTCCTCTGGCATGTAAAGTTGGAGTACCTTTAGAATACAGTACCACAACTTCTATGAGGACTTTATCTGCCGTAGGTCACGTGTCTCGAAGACAAGCAACCAGTCTTTCTGAGAATCCATCGTACGCCAAGTCAAGACCTTCAGATTGTAAGCCTGACAGCTAACTGACTGAGCTACGTCCACAATGTATATCTAAGTGCAAATTTACCTAGTCATTCCTGATAACATGTCAGTCCTAACCACATTGTGTGGTATTTTTACATTCGAGTGTACTGGAAGTGACCTCTGAACTTGACTACGTGTGCGCATGCGTGAGCGGAAGCTGGGGCAGAGATGGGAAAAAAGTTGACAGGAAGCAGCGTGTTTACGATGGCGGGGATTTGACATGAACTGTCAGTGGTGTGTAGAATGAGAGAAGGGCTAACCAGGGCCAATAGTGGAAAGGGCCATAAAGGTAATTAACATTGGTAGCAGAGCGGGAAAACGGGACTAGCAATATGGCACATGGTTACAAGAATCCCCCGACTTTGACAAATGAGATGGAATATGAGACGTGGAAAAACGAACTTGAAATATGGTGTCACATGACCGAGGTTGTAGAGGAAAAACAGGCACTCGCAGTCTCACTGGGATCACTTACGGGACAAGCTAGGGCAAAAGCAATGGCAATTGATGTGAAAGACTTGAATTCCAAACGGGGTTTGAAAATTCTTGTCCAAGCACTTGATGAACTTTATAAGAGGGACACTGTTGACTTAGCATACACGGCATACAGGGATTTTGATAGTTTCACAAAGGCTGAAGAAATGACAATGTCAGAATTTATCATTGAATATGAACGGCGATATACCCAGTGTAAGAAATATCAGATGGTCAAGTTGCTTGATTCATCAGGATTGACTCAGAAAGAAAGACAGTTAGTTTTGACAGCAGCTAACGATAGAAACTTTGAATCTATGAAATCAGCATTGAAGAGAATATTTGGTAATGTTAAAAGTCAGGATTCTGACAGTGCCATATGTGTGAAACAGGAATCAGCATATTACACAAGAAATAGCCAGAGTGGTTATAGAGGACGTCAACGAGGACAGAGATACTCGGGTCCAAGGTACAGGAATGAGCCACGTGACAGATACAGTTCAGCTTACAGTGGTAATAGAAATGATACACCTGAAAGGGGAACGAATCCAATTAACAGGTTTGGAAAGCGCAGCCGATGTGTAATTTGTCAGTCAACTTTCCATTGGGCTAAAGATTGCCCACACCAAGAGAAACCAAGAAACAATGAGGAAGTGAAAATGATAGAAACAGAAGAACAGACAGAGCAATGTAACTTGACACTGTTTACAAAGGAGCAAAGTACGGAGAACAAAATTCTACTAACAGAAGCATTGGGATGTGCAGTATTAGACACTGCCTGTACAAGTACAGTGTGTGGACAGCAATGGTTGGACCAATACATAGAGACACTCAGTAGTCAGGAAAGGGATGAAATTATTTCAAATCCTAGCAATAAGAGCTTTAGATTTGGAGATGGAGTGAAAGTTTTCTCATCATCCAATGTTATGATACCAGCAGTAATTGGTGACACTCGGTGCACTATAAACACAGAAGTTGTAGAATCGGACATTCCTCTTTTGCTTGGAAAACCATCACTGAAGAAAGCTGGATTAATTCTTGATTTACCAAATGACACAGCTATCATGTTTCATAAACCAGTGAACTTAGAACTGACATCAACTGGACATTATTGCATTGATCTAGTTGGACAAAGAGATTTTCCTGCTGAACAAACTTCAGATCTTGGCCTGGAGCAGTGTACAGTTGAACAGTTAGATTCAGAAGCACTCTTCATAAAAGAAAATATTGGTGAAAAGGATCAAAAGAAAGCGCTGGAGAAGCTTCACAAGCAGTTTGGACACGCCACAGCGGAAAGATTACAGAGGCTTATTCAAAATGCAGGGAATAAAGATCCCGACATCTTGAAGACACTAACAGAAATAGTTGAGAAATGTGAAACATGTGAAAGGTATAGGAAACAACCAACTAAGCCAGCAGTTGGATTTCCTAAGGCTACAGATTTTAATGAGACAGTGGCTGTTGACTTACACGAACTTGGAAAGGGCATGTGGTATTTGCACATTATTGATGAATTTACCAGATTTAGTGCTGGAGCTATTATTAGAAGTAAGCAATCATCAGTGTTTGTTCAGAACTTTATTCAGCATTGGATAAGTATTCATGGAGCACCACAAAAACTCTTAAGTGACAATGGAGGAGAATTCAACAATGATGAAGTGAGAGACATGTGTGAGAATTTTAACATTGAAGTAAAGACCACAGCAGCTGAGAGTCCATGGAGCAATGGATTGCTTGAACGCGACAATCAGACTTTGACAAATATCATGAGAAGAGGTGAAATCTGAGAAGAACTGTGACTGGGAAACAGCACTTAGTTGGGCATTAATTGCCAAGAACAGCCTCAGTAACATTTCTGGATACAGCGCATACCAGTTGGTTTTTGGACGAAACCCAAATTTACCATCAGTTCTGACTGACAAGGCACCATCGCTCGAGGGCACCACAACAAGTGCAACTGTGGGAAAACATATTAATACAATGTTTGCATCAAGACAGGCTTTCATAGAAGCTGAAAGTTCTGAAAGATTGAGAAGAGCCCTCAGAAAGCAGATTCGTCCAGTTGCTGGAAATTTTGAGACCGGTGACAAGGTCTACTTCAAGAGGTCAGATGATCCTAAATGGAAGGGTGCAGGAACTGTGATAGGACAAGACGGTACTGTGGTTTTCGTGAGAAATGGAGGAATTGTGGTGAGGGTTCATAGAAGTAGAATGAGGCGTTGTGTAGAAAAGGAAATTCCTGAAAATAACAATGAACATAATGAGAGGCAAGTAGAACAAGAGGAAACTGTGCAAAGACATGATAGTGTCGAGGAAGACAGTGACCTAGAGATACAAACAAAAGAACCACAGATAGGAGAAGTTTCTGAATTGAACAATCTACAGGAACGATTATCACAAATAAAGTCTGGGCAGACAATTTCATATGCACATCAAGACACTGGAGATCAAGTCTGTGCAAAAGTTCTTAGCAGAGCAGGAAAAGCAACAGGCAAAAACAGGAGCTGGTACAACTTAGAATTCATGAATTCTGAAATGCAAGGTATAAGTCAGTCAGTTGATTTGTCCAAGGTAGAAGAATTGCGGATAATCCCCTGTGAAATCATGGAGGAAAACGTCATGATTACAGAAGATGTTGCATGGACTAAACCCAAGCTAACTGAACTTGATAATTGGAAGGAAAATGGAGTTTACAAAGAAGTTGTCGATGATGGGCAAAGATGTGTGTCAACCAGGTGGGTCTGTACACTTAAAGAAACACCAGAGAAAATAATACCTAAGGCAAGGTTAGTTGCCCGAGGATTCGAAGAAGGTGAGAATACGGACTTTCAAAAAGATTCCCCAACATGTGCTAAAGAATCGCTGAAACTTATCTTGGCAGTATTTTGTCAGAAAAAATGGAAACCTCATTCAATGGATATTAAAACTGCATTTCTTCAAGGTGAAGAGATGAAGAGAGACGTTTACATTAGACCTCCGAAAGAAGCAAACGTACCTGGAAAACTCTGGCATCTTCAGAAGTGTGTCTATGGACTAAGTGATGCATCACTACATTGGTATCAGAAAGTCAAGTCAGTCATGTTGGAACTAGGAGCTAAGGTATCGAGAGTTGACCCAGCAGTATTTTTCTGGGAAGGACAAGATCAAGAAACTGTTGGAATATTGGCATGTCATGTTGATGACTTTATTTGGGGTGGATCTGCAGAATTCAGATCAAATGTAATGGAATCTGTGAGATCACACTTAAAGGTTGGAAAAGAAGAAAACCAAGCTTTTCAATACTTGGGAATGAACTTATCTTGCCAGGACGGATACATTTTCTTACATCAACAGAAATATGCAGAAAGCCTCAACTTTGTCCAGATTGATAAATCTAGATCTGCTCAGAAATCTTTACCCCTGAACGATATTGAGAAGCATGAACTCAGATCCAAGATAGGACAAATACTGTGGATAGCTAAACAGAGTCGGCCTGATGTTATATTTGATGCTTGTCGACTAGCAGCATGTACGAAGGATGCCAAAGTTGAACATCTTTTGACAGCAAACAAGATTATTAGGAAGATTAAGTCAGAACATGTCAACCTGAAATTTCAAAATGTAGGAAAGGAACTTTCACTTGTAGTTTTCAGTGATGCTTCGTTAGGAAACCTGCCAGATGGAGGCACACAGGGTGGACACATGATTTTCCTCACAGGCAGTACAGGAAAGGTGACACCTTTATGTTGAAACTCGAAGAAGATTCGTCTGGTGGTGCGAAGCACACTGGCTGGTGAAACTTTGGCGATGGCCGATGGTATTGATACAGGAGTGTACCTATCAATGTTGTTTGGAGAACTGAGTGGTGAGAAACACAACAGAATGACATTGACCTGTATCACAGACTCTAAATCACTGTATGATGCTCTAAAATCCACTAAACCTGTTAAAGAAAAAAGACTGAGAATGGAAATAAGTGGGATCAAGGAGTTAGTGGAATGTGGACAGATAGGAGATGTGACATGGGTGGACACAAATAACCAGTTGGCAGACTGTCTGACCAAAGAGGGCGCTTCACCTATAAAGTTACTACGGGTCCTTGAAGAAGGAACTCTGTGAAGATATTATTATAAACTGCCTCATCTTTTAACCTGTTTTTATGAAGATCTTAAAGAAGAAAAAACAAAATATGTTTGTTGGAACAGTCTGCATCCTTCTTTTACATAAAACTATTTTATACAAATCAAAAATATTTGAGGTTATATGTGAAGAAACTGTTCTTGAGATATACTGTACAGAGACTGTTCAGTCTGAGGGAAGGCTTTACATATTAACAAATGAAATTTTGACACAGCCAGCAAAGT